CCATTCAAAACCTTCAAGACTAGCTTTCTTTCCAGTGAACCATTGCTCAGAAAAAAGCCATGATATAATTTTTTTTTTTTTTTTTGCCATTAGTCCCACTGCCAGGAGGGATTTTTCCCTAGCAACTGAATAAGAGGTCCTAAGGAAGGAATGTGGTGTACACCCAGGAGCGGTTTGAGGTTGGACAATGTTATAAAGCAGTAGAAAAGAAGTGATTTATGGAAATAAAAGAAAAATGTAGGGAATTGAGGGCTGACTCTGATATGCCTTTCTGAGTATTGCTGGCACTGTACCCGTGGAAAATAAGGCAGACGGGTTTCTGCCTCTTAAGTCTCTGAGGAATGAACAAAAATGCATTTGTGAGTATTCTCCTAAATAAGTTATTTTGAGCTGCTTTGATAAGATTCATGACCTTTTTGAAGATAAAATTCACCAATTTGCAAAAATAGAGGTGAGTTGTGACACTGTTGTAACCACGCAGACTAAGAAGAGCTGGCCCCAAGGACCTTTACGCATTCTGTGACCCTAATATTTCACCACTCTTGAGCCTGGTAATTTCTGTTCTTTCTCTGTGAGTATCTTTATGATCTGTATTAAGTAATTCTTTAACAGGGTATTTCTTTATCAGGGTTATGTACAGTAATAGATGTAGATAAAAAACAATTAACATAAACAAAATATATAAAGTAAGATTTTTACATTAAGAGAGGAGTAAGCCATAAAAACTAACCTTGCAGAAGTTACTGGGTTTGTTGTCCTAAAGACAAATGATCAGCCTTAGTTGTTTGCACAAGAACAGATTTGATGGAGAGTCCTAATCCTAAAGCTGCTTTAACTACTTTTACATATCTGAAAACAGAATTTACCAAACTGATTCTTACATCTTCAACAGATAACTACTCACTGCTGCTCTAGACAAACGATAAATGCATTGTGCTGCAGTTGCAAAGACATCCAGATTACAAACGTTTCAGGTATTCTCTCTAAATTGGAGGTCACTGCAAAAAGATGTTAAGATAATAAATCTATCGTATAAACATATTCTCCTGGCACCCAGCAGGAGCCCGCTTGGGATCATTTATCTCCAGTTCATTATCTTGTCTGCATTATTCAGCAGCCTAGTTCATGCTCAATGGGCTTCAAACAACTTTTAACAGCTGAAGTCTTCCTCAGCTATGACTTATACTCTCCCTTTGCAATAAAAAGTTGAAAATCACTTCAATAGCTATGATGAATTAATCTCATAGTTCAGTTTTTCTTATTTGGAACTAGGAATGTTCAACTTCTAATTAGCTAACGTAAGTGGCAAGTTTCCATTTAATCCTCATTACATTCACATGTGAATAGCAGCTGTTAATTCAAAAGACGTGACGCACCCTTGATATATATGTTCTTAAAATAATCGTGACAAATTGTAAATATTTTATGTATAAAGATTTCTCTATAGAAACTCATTTATATATTCTGAAATAAAATTAAATCAAATTGTGACATATTTTGTTGAAATGAAACTCCAAACAAGAGTAAAGTTTCATTTGCATATATTCATAAATTATTCGTATGTAAGAGACTATTTATAAATCTACAGGATTATGTGGTAGATGATATACTCCTGAACTGCAACCAGGATATATTTCAATCTATAGGTGTTAAAGAGATCTGTAATATTGACTTCTTAATTCCTGCAGTTCCAAAGATGCTTCTTGACAGCTGTTGGATTATATTGTTCATTTCAACATTAATTTATGCAATGGAGTCGCTTGCTAAATGAACTTTTGCTACAGGATGGAAGGTTTAGGACTGTAGCAGTTTGTAGGCTAGAAGATACATATATTTGTCTTGAATTTATGAATGAATTTCTTTCTCCTTGTCCTAGGGAAAGCGGATTTAAATAAATCTGAATTCCATATAGCTGAATTAGGAAGGCATTTCTCAATCTGAAATTCCACAGCTTCCAGACTTTTTTTTCTTGAGATGGAATGAAATACATTCTTGCATTGGAAATAGCTAGAATCCCGACGCACTAAATTCGTACTTCCACACAAGCATACTTTCAAAGTAAATACATAGATTTCCATGCATTCAACAGCGTAAAGTTAGTTCAGGAAAAAAAACAGGATTAATACAAATTTATTTCTAATCTGGGTATTTGCCATAGATTCTAAGACAAGCAAGATTTGCATCAGATAGCAATCATGTCTCTCCTTATTGTTGTATACTGTCATGTCTGGGTGTTTGATCTATTATTATCAAATCTTTTCGCTGTAATTGGATCCTTGGTGAAATGATTTGATAAGTACATAAAAGCACTAGAGACTATATAAATCCATTCAAAAAATAGCCGTTTGGCTATTTGTCACATGGGAGACTCTAGACAAATGTAAGAAAAGGTAAGCATTCTTTTGTTTCCTCTGAGTTTGAATGACAACTATGCCATAACTGAATGAAGACTGTAACACAAATATTCAGACTTTGGAAGATGGACAGAGTATTAAATGTGCTTAGATATCTGTGTTAAATTTATCACATGCTTATCATTGCATGCTTCATCTTAAGGCTTCGCTGCCAGGGAAGAATACATTCTGTAGTCCAAAAGTAGCGTCAGCAAATGTATTATTTCATAACATTCTGTATTTCAGCATCAACAAATGCAAAGTTGATTAACTAGAGGTTGTAAATGAACCAAAAAAAGTGTTTTTTTGTAAGCAAAATTAGTTGGTATAATAGAAAGGAAAAAGCACACAGTTGTATTCTGGCATGCTGGTTTACAAGAACTGCCAAGACTGCATGCAAACACAGAATGGAGGTAAAAATTAAATACGCAGAAGAGCCAGTGAGGGTAGCTGAGGGGCCCATCAAACACCAGCTATTTCTTCCTATGCATTTTTTACAGTCAAACACTGAACTTCATAACAAGTGCTGGGACAACAGTACTGACAAGTCTGAAAAGTAGAAGTGCTATGAAATAAAAGGATTTTGCAAAGAAATAGGCCCTCTCCCTTTTTCATTAAGGCGTTTTCCACCAGCATAACTTCTCTCAGGGTGTCATTCAGTAGTCTGACCACACTATGATCCTCCTACAAAGTTAGTAGTTGAAATTTCCACTTCTGTTTCCATTCTAAAATATGTGAAAAGGAACAAGATAGTCAAAAAAGGCTTTTGCATTGAAAAGTAGGATCAGTCAAAACATTGTGTTGCGCTCTGTCTCAAGTCTACCTGAAAATGAGTTAGTGAAATGTGTAAACTCTGCAGTGGTATTGTGTCCCAACCCCAGAAGGCGACATCCATACTGAAGCTACAGATAACTTAACAGACTTACAGAGGTGAATTCCACTCATGCTCTTAAACCCAGCTTGAATACCTAGCAGCACACAGAGAGAAAAGAGCCCAAACAGAAAGAAACGAAGAAAGATATTTGAAGAACAGACCCAGAAAATGGGGGAAAATAAATCAGAAATATTGTAGACAATACGTGGCCAATAGCTGAGGAAGTCTCAGTCTATTTTACGCTCTGTGAAGGCATGATTTTCAGCACACTAAGTGTAATTGTCTGCTGGCTTACAACAGATCTTTGATGAAATGTGGGCAATCAATATGTATTTCAAATGAGAAGGGTATGTTATTAAAGACCTGACAAACGTAAGCCCTGGCTTTAAAACACATTTGGGCTTCAAACCTGAAACTTCCTCTTGCACCAGACATCCTGGGAAAAAAGCAGAAGCTAAAAAAATGTACTAATTGTAAACTCCAGCACTATTTCTTAAAGTCTTCCTCCAAGCTGAGATAGATTCTGTATCAGGAAAATCTAGAAGTGTTTTAATACTGGTTAAAGGGGCTACAAGTTTTTAGTACTTTTTTAGGCTGTCTTTTATAATCTTTTAGAATAGTGCTGCTACGGAAGTTCAGTCAACTAATTCCAATGTGACTAACATGCATTTAATGGAATATTAATATCTTACAACAATTTTAAAAACGTATTTTCAATTTCAGTTTCAATTTCTTTTCAAAATTGTAGACGTGTTTGTCTCAGGTTACTGCATAGAAAAAACCAGTTTACTGCATAGAAGCCTTTGAATAACATATGAATTCAGAGCTGTGTTGCCTTGGTTTCTATCATAATCTCCCCACTGATTAAGCAATCCAGTGAGAAACTGTGATATTACCGCAGTGAATCACTCTCAAGAGGATTTACATTCCCCTGTGTACCAAGAAATTAATTTGAATGGGATTATAAAACACTTTGGAAGAGAATACTAATGGAAATGATAGAAAAGGGAAATCGGAAAATAGAAGAAAGAGAGAAAAATGACGAAACATTACTTGAGATGAGAATTCATCACTCATATAGTCAAGAAACCAATCCAGATGCTCTCGTGCTTCAATAATTTGCATTTATTATGTGATTTTCTTTTCTGCTAGAGGCAATATGCCTTCAAAATCAAGGTCTAATTTTTATATTTAATTTTTAATTTATAAAGTTATTGTAAAAAGTTGCTGATCCTCAAAAACAAATACTGCAGTGCTAGGGCAGCAGTGCCAGCAGTTGAAGAAGAGACATTCTTTGGTCAAAGGTTGGTAAAGAGGAAGACCATAGCAGCTGTAGAGAGACAAATGCAATCACACAAGGAGTTATCAGCTTTATGAACTGAGGAGTCTTGACACTACTTGACATTCATTCTCAATTACTAAGCTCAGGTTTCTCCCATTGATTGAACAGCTCTACAAAATACCTCAAGTAAATGAGTGGATTTTGTGTATCCATCACAATGTAAGTAGCGTGCTTCACCTCTTCAAAAGAAGCTGAGCTAGCCGACAAAGCACTAAACGCTAATTTATATTTGATGGCAGCCATAGGCTATTGGAAACGTACTTTTCCACTACTTTTCAGACGCTCAGCTTTGAAGAAAGCACTCACTGTTTTATGGCAGTAATGAAGCAATTAATAATAAAAAAGACATTTAACATGGCTATCTACAGTAGCAGACCACTAAAAGTGTTAATTGCCTTCTTTCGCATTTCTTCCAGTTATCACTCCAAGCAGACTTGTTCAGAGGGCAAATTACATTGTGCAAAAAATGGTGTGTAAAAACAGATATTCTTAGAGCTGCATATTTATTTGGGGTAATGGGTTTATTTAAAATCATGGCTATAGTCTATCGATATCACTAGGAAACTAGTGAAATTTCTTGTGGAACTCACCAGTCACTTGATGAACCAGAAACTCAAACGATTAAAACAGTTGGTCTAACAGAAAAGTTACATGATTGTTTCTATCTAAATTCTGTTTTCTACCTAATTTGTACCTGATTCAGAAAGGTCATTAGAATCTTGCAGGAACGATTGCAAAGGCTATGCAACTTCCTGAACTAAATTTAATTTTGCAAATATATTGTACCTCATTTTCAATAGTATTTAATGACTAACCGACAGGTAGGAATAGTAATTCATTTTCTTTGCAGATCAACTTCGTATCATTGATAGGTGACACTTTCATTTAAGATATTTCCACATTTGTGCTTCTCAAAGCACGGATTCTGCATTTTGTTACAAAGGACAAGTTTTGCCCTTCTTTTCACTTCTCTTCCCTTTGCATGGAGGAAAGGATTAAAGAGCTGTTACAGATTTCACTATACAGCAGCTTCACAGCATTTTCTTCAGAAGGAAGTAGCGCAGACTCTGGAACATGCTGCTGCAACACAAAACAAAATATTGTATAGCTTCAGCTGTTGCAGTTTTTCAGTTTCTTTACATCACTGTATGACTGTGGGACTGAGTGCATTGGGCTGATGCTACAGTAGAACTAAGGAGTTAATACTGAGTGACAATTTTTAACATTTATCTGGTAAGTGGAATATCAGCAACTGCAAGATAAGCAAATCAAATGTTAGGAATTAATAGCAAAGAAATACAGGACAGCATCATTATGTCACTGATAAACATCTTTTACGTCACTGCAGAAGTATATGGCCCACCAGCACGTTGAACAGATAAACTGGAAAAAAGTATAAGAAGTCAATGAGGGTAATCAAAGTTATGCGATGGTTTTGTTTGAGTAGAAACTACACAGATTAAGATACTTCAGGCTGGTAATGAAACAGATGAAGTGAAATACAATGAAGGCCTTTAAAACCATTACCAGCTTCCAAGTGATTTTTGGTGACTATTAAAGCTTATATCAAAGCATCTTCATTACAGTTCTTCAAACTGTAACTCTTCAAAAGATGCTAATATTAGAAAAGTAACATTCAATAACACATAAGATTTCTTATATTTTCCCAGCTTTTCTCTGATCCACTCTTACTAAGTAGGAAGCACCTTTTCCTTCTGCAACTTCAGCCAGATCTGCTGAGTCACCTACTTGAAGCTAAACATGATTTCCAAAAAGGATTTTAAATTATTGCAGTCAGTTGCTGTGGGCAAGCATGCTATTCTAATAAGGAAGTGCAGAGAGTATAGTCTGTATTTACTCCTTCCTTTGTACAAATTGACATTATGTATAAAGCCCAAGTTATAATCTACCAATTGAGCCTTAAACCTCCAACACCTCTACTTGCCTGTTCATTGTTCAAGTCCCAAGCTGGGTTCCCGTTGCCTCTGCAGGATTAGAAATAGGCTGGTACCCTGAGGAGAATTAGTCCTCACTTTTAGGTGTTCTTAGTAATCTCCTTTAGATGTCAATCTCTGCTACCCTTTTCTCCAGCTACTCTGGAATCAACATGTAAGGTATCTTCCGGCCACTCCAGAATCAACATATATTCTGTCCTCATTAACACTTTCAATTGTTGATAAGTTTATTTAGAAATACCCTCTTTCTTCCAAACATGTGCTAGGGAAAGCTTCAGAGGTGAGAGTAAGTGAACAGCTATCATTATACATGCAGTTTTATATTATCAGGGAATGTATTGGCCAACTCACTGCATTATTTGTTTGGCATATGCACACTGACAACCCTTCACAGCATTAGTCTTTTCAAATGGATAAATCTGTTTGAAATGGATTAGCCTTCTTACTTCCCTGTGTAGGAATAATGGTATTGATGCAAATGCAAATCAGCTCTTTTCTGTTACATTCAACATTCAAAGCAAATACTTGCATTACAAAGGATATCACTTTGCTCTGAAGGTGTGAAGTGGTTTAGTGGTAAAAAATTCTAGTCAATGCTTGCTGCCATCTTCTGGTTTTACAAAAACCCACAAACCTATTTTTAAAAAGCCTTTCCTTCAAGCCAGGCTCTTCATCTGGAATAGATACAAAATGAAATAGTCTATTATTTAAAAAATCTGCTACTCAGTTTCATAGCAATGTTTATATTTGAGAAGTGTTAGTTTACATAAAGTATACATAAAGGAGTTATGATAAAATTAAAAAAAAAAGAGTCTGGATAAAATAGTTACAATGGAATTACGTTCCATAGATACCAAAAAAAATAAAATATTTTCTTTTTTTTCCTGACACTACCTGAACATTTTCAGTTTAAGTTACCAGAGATATAGATTATAGTGTACTATATAATGCCCTATATGTAATATAGAGTGCAATATATATAATGATACATATTCCTATTGATGCATTGTGTGCTATGTTTTTACACTACATAGATATTTTTTGTTTGTATAAAAATAGATGCTTCAGTAAAGGATTAGAAAGTCAGAATACCTTCTGGGCTTACGCCCTATTGATACTGGGAGCACGTTGTGCTTTTGGACACCAGAAATCAGCTTTAATGCAATACAGAAAGAAGCAGGAGGGAACATTACGAGAATTCTAAAGCAACTTCTGGAGGACAAATCAACAGGAAAGCAGCAAAGATATAAAATGACTTTCTAATTCTTTCAATGGGATACAAAGCTGTAAATACTGAGGCCCTAAACAGCAAAATACATATCAGTGGCACAAATATCTGCAGGCTAGCTCGAAATGAGCTAGGTCCAGAAGACAAACAGCACCTTTATTTCTAGGAGGAGAAGTCAAGAAGCCTGCACGTACAACCAACCTAATGCTCTGGTAATCTGAAATGGGTGCATGATGCCATACCACAGTTCATGGTCGTGTTGTTTTCTCTAGCATGGTGATCACTGCAGACATGCCCAGTTCTGTTCGAAAATAACGTTTTCACCCTTAAACCACTTGCGTCTCAGTGCTCAGAGATTAAGCACTCTCCTCTCCACGTGCATGCATCTATTAAATACCCATGAAGTCCGTAAAATTACTGTTATCCTGTTGCCTATGCCTTTAAACTTCTATGGTTCCCCTGCTGGGACGCGAAAAGCTCCCTAAAGTAGAAGTGGTTTTGATGCAGTTCACTGTCTGCAGTACGAGCCTATCTGGCTGGCTGCCTAGAGCTAGCGGCTTACCTCTGATCAACCTAGATAAATGGCAAAACCCAAACTGCATGTGATGCCACAGTACTTCAGTTCAGTTCCTAAGTGCCCTTTCTTTAATGCTGATGTAACTCTAAATAATGGACAGTGGGCCTGCGGCTATGTCTTGAGGAGGATTTCAGTAGGCACCAAGGCAGGTAGAGATCAGAAGTTACAAGGTTGAGCAGAGCAACCTTCATTTATCTATGATAAGCTACAGCTTAGGCATTTTTAAAGACTTATTCTTTCAACTACAAAGACTTATCCAGAGGAAGTAACACTTGGAACATAGACAATTTCATAAGCAGATGACCTTTATGGGAGTTCTGGTCCTCGTTACACACATTTTTTCCCCCTAGGGTTTAGGAGACTGTAGATGAATAAGCTGTAATTCAGTATAAGAAAAAATAAGTGAAGAAATCGCTAGACAGAATTCTACAGCATATTTCCAGAGATAAACCAGAAGAGTTTATCATGAATCTCAGTCTGTTCGTTCAATAGTTGACAACAGTTGTCCAGGTGACAAACCTGCACCAAGTTTTAGCACTTCCATTCCTCTGCTTCAAACAATTAAGGAGAGAAAGTCTGCAATATAATAACAAGATGCACGACAGCTTTTCTTAAAGCTGTGCACTTTTAACAATGGGTGCACCCCATTATCACTCTTAGAATCTTTAAGACTGACTCACTTATAGCAGACATTTAAGTTGTAACTTTATAGTGTATTTCATGAAATGTGCTTAAGTTATAGTTTAGATCTTTTTAGGACTATACTTCATCAAAATAAAAATATGCAATTGTTCATGCCTTATTGTAGGCATGAACAGGCCAGAATATAGGATTTTCTCAGAAATGGCACGCTGACTGGGCAGTGTAGTGTCTTGTCTTTGGAGTTTCACTTTTAGCAAACCAATAAATGCATACAAATAAGGAAACCAAGCAGTTTTCTTTATTTTCATTTGAACTGAAAATCTGGATTGCAACATGCAATGTACCATAACTTAGCTTTTGATGTAAATTTTATTGTCTAGACTAGCATTTGTGAAGGGTTTGTGTGAATAAATAAGAAGTTAAACACTTTTTTTCCACTGAGATAAGTTAGTTCTTGAGAAAGAACGATGACTGGGGAAGGGAATAAGCAGGCTAGAAAAAGCACCATTTTGTTTGTCAGGGGCAGGTGGTTCCGGTAGCTTTATCAAATAGCAAGGGATAAAGCTCAAACAAGCTGTACATGCAGACTTTGCGGTGGGCCTCTGCTCCTCCGTTTTACTTCACTATATTTCCTACATGGCCCTCATATCTCTCATCACTGATGAGTTGCATTCAGGCCTCACCGGTATTTCCTGAAGAGTTATTAGCCACAAGTTATCAACTGCTTTTGTGCATTTTCACTCTGCTCTAGTGCTTTTCTCATGTAATTTTCATTAGGCCACTAGGGCTAGGTGGTTTAAAATGTATTGGGCTTTAGTGTCATGTGGATTTTAATTACAGAAATCCATCAACTCCTTGAATTACAGCACAACTGCCCGTATATTTTTCTCCTATGAGAAAACTCATAGAAGAACTATTTGAAGCAAAAATGCCACTTGGGCCACGGAGTCTTATCTTCATCTACAGGTGGAGAGCAAATAACAATGTAGAAAGACTATGAAGTGAGACATAGCAATAACGGCACTAGTCCCTCCAGAGTGTAAGGAGCTGCGCAAGTGAATTCCCCATTGCAGCATGGGAAGTAACTGTCCATGTCCAAATGGTACTTCAAAGAACTCCTCTGCCAGGGCCTCCCTACAGATTACAATATGAATAAACTTCTAAAAGGGGAGTCAAATGCACCATTACTCCCTAGAACTTTTAAAAATTACTCTCAATGTGTGTACTGGCTTCCTTACCTTGCAGATAGAGATAAATCTAGTTAGAATGCCTTATACCTTGGCAAGAAGGTCTAGCTTCTTTTGTAGGACTTTCATCTGTGCTACCTTAGGATAATGGAGACAGGAGAGGTCACATAGACTTGCTCTGCCTGCTTCCATAGAGAGCTGATCCACTCGCTACTAGATGATTGCTGCCCTGCCAGGAGCGTTTTCCAAAGGCCACTACCACCTGAAATACAACTGTCTTCGTGTTGTAAGTATTTAGCTTTACTTTGTGCATAGTCCTAGTGATTTATTTGACTTTAAAAAGTGACACAAAAATCCTTCAAATTCTTCATGTTAATTGTAATTATCTTGTCGGGAATACTCTGCTAGAAAACACATGTCTGTATCAGAACTATGCTGAGAAGTATACGCAAATCCACTAGATGGTGCTGTCTCTGTCATTTAACAAAGAAGGCTCTTCAGCTAAAACTCTGAATATCCTTAAAATTAATAGCTAAATTGCTCATTCACTCTGATCCGTGAAATCCTGTCAGGAAAAACCTCAAAAGTTAGGTTCATTGTCAAGAGGTTCGATTATAGTTAAGGCTCCCCACTAGTACTTGGGCTTTGCCCTATTCCTGAATTTTAAAGGCACTCTCATTTTTTCCATATGTAGTCCTGCCTTTTAATGTATGCTTTTAACATATTCCTGTGTTCCACGATATATGGGAAATTTAAAAACAGAAATACTAAAAAATAATTCCAGTAATACACTCTTCATAAGGAGAAGTTTTATCTTTGATTAAGCCAATAGATATGGATGCAAAAATATTCAGTCACACAACCTGTCCTTTGGATCAGCCACCATACACTTGCTTTCTCTCTTGTCTCCCTCCCTACTTTTTCCCACACCAAAAATCCCCAAAGAGATATGCATTTAGCAGACTAATCAGTCCTACAGGCTGCATCTAGCCTACAAACTGCCATTTGACCTTCAGCACTAGGCCTGTACAGCTGCAACTGCACAAGTGTATTTTTTGACCAATGTTCACGGTAAAATAGAAGTGTGAATGCAGCATAAAAGCATTGCCTTCATTGAGGGCTAGTGCTTAGGGCTTAATTAAAACACAAATAAGGTATTCAACAACTATACAGCAAACTATAAATAGGAGCAAACTGCCTACACAGATGTGCTGTGCAGGTCACGCAGTGTAGTGTGGGTATTTGTCTTTACAATAGAGTAGAAATGTGCATTGCTGTTGGACAAACAGAGGTGTGCTTCACTTGTAAAAGCCAGGAAGAAAGCAAAAGATAAGGATGGCGTATAATTTCTGTGAAGCAATTCCTAAAAATGGAAAGAAAGAATATCTATTTTCCATTTGTGTCAAAAACAGGCGAGGGTTATACAAAAGAGCAGGTAGAGCAAGCATCAATATTCTGACCAGTTCTGTCAACAGCATTTGTATCATATGATTAATTTTATTAATATTGGTTCCTCTTGCGTAAATCTGTCATGCCAAATAGAAATCATTTGCATTCCCAGCATTATGAAGAGCCATACTGGGGGCCCTGAGGTCATTTCTGCTGAAATTAGTGACAATACTTCTGTGTACTTGCTGATAGGAGGATCAGTTGCAATAGCACTACTGCTGCTCTTCTGAAAAGAGACAGCAACAACAAATCCTATCACAAAACCTGTAGCTGTTTGGGAAGCCAACTCTTAGTTGCTGTCTGAAGTGATGGAGCCATTTGGGAAGGGCCAGTTTTAAGGCGAGCTGGTAAAATCACTGCATTTTTTCATGTTTCTGATTTCAAATGGAATGGTCTCTTGTGATATACATTTTTTAAACTGCAAATCTTTTAAAGCTACTTTTTTGAAAGAACTATTGTTATTATTAACAAATTTTTCAATTTTTGTCTGTCTGAACTGATTTTATTCAACCCATGGTAATCCACAGGTTTAAAACTGTACATCAGCATGGCCCATATTTTATCTTTATAGGTATGTGGTTAAAGAGCCTCTGTCTCACTGTCCTTTCAGATCTTTTTCTCTAGGCTTGCTTTCAGTCTGGTAACTTTCTGTAGCGTCTCAATTTGCAACAAATTCTGCACAATCCCCTCAAACAAAAAAATCTCTCCTTCCATTACTTATGAAACCTGGTCTGCTCTGAGAAACAGAGTTAAGCTACAAAAGTTATGGAAACTGCTAGAATTAGAATTATTTTTCCAGACAATAAGGTAGGTACTAAATGTAAATTAAAATATTTTAAGATTAAATTTAAGTCATTTTAATATAATATTTAAACTCCTGTCTAAAGTGAGGGTTTAACCTTTAATCTTTTATCAATATTTTAGGAATGAAAAATCAAAGAAATGAAAGACATTTTTAACTTCAATAAATTATATTAATTATAAAAATAACCCAAGATCCCATGATGCAGGATATAAGCAAATATTCATTAATATAGCTAAGCATAAAATATATCTTAAACTGTGTGTTTATCTACCTTTTATGTCACTACCAATACAAATGACATATTATGTGTATATAGTTTATTGAAAAAACTATAATTGCAGGAAACATATATGGGTTTAATCCTAATACACTTGTTTGAAATAAAGCAGATCCTGATCTGCTGGGAACATCAGCAATACATTCAAGTTTTGCTCAAATGGAAGATAGTGCGGCTTTACTAAAATTAAACTTCTCCATGAGCAGTATTTCCTTTGATCAGTTTATCGATCTTGATTAAAATTAGAACTTTATTCAGGATGTCTTGTTGCCTGAAGAGCATTTCCATGAGTCAAGAAAAACAAGGAAGTATAACAAAGTATGCTCAGTGTGCCCTGATTTAAATTCATCCTGCCAACAGTGCCGCATCAGCATTTCCAGCTGGTAAGGCAAATGTGTATTATTTTCATATGCAAATATAGCATTTCTAATCCTATTTTTCCTTCAATGTCATGTTGTTTTTCATTGTTTATGAGCAATTTACCAAAATTAAAAAAAGCAAATGTTTGAAATGCCATGAAAGTTATATTTATTTAAAGGAAATAATAGGAGAGTACCTATAATGTTAAGTATAGTTCTGCACCAGTTCTCTTAATTAACTAGAAGACCTGTCAGTATGCCAAATAACATATTGGAAAAACACTATTTTGTCTACTGCTTTGTTAGATCACACTTTCATTTAGTGTATGTTCTACTGACAGACCATTACGTGTCCTTTTTTCTAATTCACGCAATCTGCTTCAATTACTTCAATGGAAAGAAAAATAGAACTTCAAAATAGTCATTATTTCTCCTGATTTTTCACAATTGTTTCTCTTGTTTTTCCCAGACCATTTCGAAATAGGTTCATATCAACTCTTCAAATAGTTATGTGGAGAATTAAAACAAATCAATGAAATAAGCCCACTTAATGAAAATCAAACACTTTCAGCTAACAAAGATTGTTCACAGGGCAGGAGCTTGAAATTGCCAAGAAATGTCTTGACTCCAGAAAAGAATTCTAGATTCGTTATTCCTCCAGAACTATTAAGACTAATGAATGCGGTAAGAACCTGGCCGATATACCCAACCTCTACAGGGATGTCCTATGCTAATGAAAAAAAATATTGAGTATTTTCCGAAAGCCTCATTTCTGGATTCTGAAACCAAAACTATAATTAATAGCAATCATGATGACAATGTTCAATTATCAAACTATCAAAATAAAACCAAAAGTATGGAAAACATCAACATAAATGGTAAACCACATATTGAATCACATAGATTCTTTGGATCATATGGAAACTTCAAAGGAAGTATCTATGAAACCTGTTTCAAGCAGCTATGTGTAGAAACTACCCTGAATTCACATGAAACAGGTAACACCTACAATATACCCTTAAAAGAGAGTACTAGTCATTATGAAAGAAAAACTTTCCTCTGTTCTCTGTTTATGAAGAAGTCAGCTTTAGGATCCTCTCTGGTTAAAATTCTTAATCACTAGACCTTATCAAATTGTACCTGCAAAACGACATCCAAGAAGTCCTTGGGAAACAACTCTGATTCTTCTCTAGGTGAATTCTTGTCTCCAGGCAGCAATTCCAAGTCCTTGATAAAGTTTCCAGATTCATGCCCTACGCTGCTTTAGTGCTCCAGCATTATCTCTTGATTTCATCCCGTGTAAGAAAGTACTGCAAAAAGAGAATATAGCGCAGCTTGACAGAAGAGGCATGCTCAGGCTAGCTACTGAATATAATTCAGGTAACGCAAATCTTAGCGTCTGTGTGATTGTAGCTGAAGAGCTTTATGGTAACGCATTTAAAGCAAACTTGTAACCTGTAGTATAGTCATGTCTCTAATCCCAGGGAAAATCCAAAAGGAGCAAAGTGCTCCTTTCATCAAAATTTTTATTTTTAACGAGGATTTCTTTTTTCATGGAATGAAAAAAAGAAATCTTAACGGTTTTGTCAGTTACAGTTCTTAATAAAGGAACTGCCATGAAAATTGACATAGTTTTAGACAAAAAAGTCGTCCCCCTCTTGGAATTATTTGATTCTCAATGTTTTAAATGATGTATCTACAGCAGGTTTTTTGTGCCAGAAAAATTGTAAGAGGATTGCAAATTAGTTGTAATAAGGTAGCACCATCAGCTAGTGGGAATAATGATGAGTAAGGAACTTAATCAGGACTTTAGACTTTCGTATTTTAAAATAATGTTTGTAACAGAAATAATTACATCTATATATTATTACTTCAAATATTGTAGTCATAAATCTCATTTTATGGCTCTTATGCTGTCTGCAATACATAGAAACATATATCCAAGTTATGTTGTCAAATGTCTGTAAGATCGTTTATTGATCTTACAGGGAATGGTGACAGCTGAAGCAGAAAGCATAAACTTCTTGCATTCTAATACCAGCAGATGAGATCTGTCTGTGCAAACAATTAAATATTACTCTTATCCCACTCTGGATGACTCTACATCTAAAATCTCCTGCGCCCGTACTCCCTTGTTTCTAGGTGCTTACAGTAAAAGAATGCAGAAGGAATATAAGTGGCTTGAAATAGCATCCTTGGTATCACAGACAGCAACTTATGCATTTCTCTCCTTTTGCCATATGGCAGCTCTTTGGTTAATGAAGGAACCTGCTACTTTGTAGTCTTTTCTCTGTTAATCATTTACATGTAGGGGCAGATTTTTACAGTCATTTAGGCACCTAAAAATTGATAATTGATGGTATTAAAGTGACCAATAGCAACTCATAATTCCTGCCAAGAGATGCAGGAAGAGAGAGCAGTTCACATCTTACAAGGGATAAGCCAGAGTTGACACTGTTAGGGATCTGGTGAATTAAACTTAACAATCTCAATCCTACTTCCCCCGAGCTAATGTGTTCAGAGGCCTAATGGACTTTTACGATTTCTGTGTTGCCAAACTGCCAGAATGGCAGGATGATGTCTTTGATGAGGTCAAGAAGAATGTAATTATTCTCCAGCTTGTTCCTGGAACTGTAAGGATTAGGTTTAAAATTAAGTTAAAAAGTTTCTTGATAAACAATTCCCTGAGTTTTTATAGCATGCCATGACAACAAGGAAATTTCAGGAGTGTTTTTGTCTCCGAGTTCCAGAGATTTTAAGCTCAGGGCTGACTAAGGACTTTGTACTTACTTGAATAAGATTACTACACTTTTCAGTAGTTACTATTTTGCTGCTTGTACGGTTGATGCAGTTTAGGATAAGTATATATTTCACCTTGTCCTGAGGAAAAGGTTGTGCCAGTACAGCAAATAAATTGTTGCAGCATGAGTCAGCTGATTCTGAAGATTTGAAATCATGTGGCTCTGAAAGGTTCAGAAATAAGGCATTCCGGTGGTGTGTGGTTTCACTGCAGGTATATGAATGCATTCTAAAATATCTCATGAAATAATTAATGAATTTTGACTTCGTTCCTAGACCAATGGAATTCCAGTTTTGGGCCACACTAAGTAAGTTCATAGACCATCTCGTTTTATTCACCACCCTTCTTATTTCTTCGAGCCAATGCCACTGTGAAAGCACTATCTGCAACATGGATGAAACACTGAGCATTGCTGTATTTATGAACGTGAACATAAATGGATTGGTGGCAGTATGCCTGAAGTTATGTGATATCATTAGACCCCAGAAACTAGAAGTTTGTGAGGAGGATAAAAGCAACCATAATTTTTTTTTTCCTGTGAACAGGTTCACTCACTGGACCCCCAATATGGGACTCAAGAGAGGTGTCAGCAATTGCCTTGTGGCAGAGGATAGCACTGTACCCTGAAGGTGAGCAGATGTCCTGGCAGACCTTCGAGATGCTGAGTCATTTCTGTCGAAATCTGAGCAGTGTTCACCCAGCAGTCAGCAGTAAACTATCCTGCTTTGGCACAGAGAAGTCTGTGGCCTCCTGGCTTAGCTTGAACTACGAGCTAGAAGCCCAGAAATCTGGTTGCTAATATTCAGCCAGTTGTTAAAATAGTTTTGCTATGGGTAAATCTGAATGTTCCTGGAGTTGATGTAATGAATCCGTGAAGCGCCGTTAAGAATAGTGAGATCTCTGATTATAAAGTTGGGAAAAAAGGAGAAGATTATTAATGGAATTCTATGGGGACACACAGAACACCAGTTTGAGTGGAAAATCACTGTCCACATGGCTCTGATTTTATCACATTGCACATAGATAGAGTTCTCACATTTCTGTTAGGAAAATCATAGGGAGAAATTCTGGTTCATGCGCTTGGACAGATGGTCAGCAGATACACGACTGTTTCATGAACTTTGTTCCTTACTTCTCAGCTACTGCTCCAGCTGGGCTTGAAACTCCCCTGCACCTGCTGGTGCTAGTGAGCTGAGGGGCTGAAGAGGGATGAGGACTGAACCCCATTGCCTTGGTAAATCTGTGAATGCTACAGATTTTTAATTATATTGAGGTTGCTAGTAGGAAGGAATCATATGCCTATCCACGGCCTTCCAACACTAGACCTAGTAGTTCATGAACAGTAAAGAGTTTTTCTCAGTGGGGCTTCAAGGACTAGCTGACTGCTGTGGAAGATTCCCCATTTTTTGTACAGGGGAAAGAAAGGCAGGATCCATCCTACCAAAATCTTTCTTAATAGCAACAAAGTGTAAATTTTATCCTGCTGATTTATATTGTCAGCTAATCTAAGATACCTGTGTTCCCCTGACATAAGAATGCCTTTTGCAAAATATCTAAATAAGACAAAGGGACTTTTTAACTGTACCCCCAGGAGCTGCAGACTGTCAAAACAAAGTTAATTCTGAAAAATGGCCAGCAGAACACAGAAGATGCATGTTGCCAAAGCCCAGCTTAGGGAGAGTACGTGGACAAGAGTGGAAAATAAACATTTCTAACAACTGGATATTAATGACTAAATAAAAAAGGTATGTGACTCAGGCACATAAGAATATGTGCTCACACTTTTCTCTAGGGACAGCTGACAAGAAATATATTTGGCTTTGCGCAAAACATTTATAAAAAGATTGCTACATAAATGTTCTCATGCATGTGTATTACTGCATAGATTCAGTTACACTTGAAGCGTGCAAGTTGCTGATAGCATTTTGGTTTTGCTATTAAAATGTCAACATTAGTTGCTTCTAATGCACTGTTTATTTTTATGTTGTTACTGTTTTTATTATTATGAAATCGCTGCCTCGCAAGAGAAAAAGGAGTTAAAACTGGCAATTATAAATACAGAAATTGTCATTTCTTTAAGCAATACGTAGCAAACTTGGAAAGAAGCTAAGTGCCAAAATGATGGTATGCTTTTCCCTTATCTATTATCCTTCTTCAGTCTCTCTCTGTGCTGATAAACAAAGAACAACAACAATGATGTTCATGGGAAAGTGTTCTTCCTCAAATCAAGCTACTTCTTTATAAACAATTACATTCTGCATGTTGCAGGGAGGCGAGATATCAATGAAGTAGCAGGTTGTGAGTAAGCAAATATACACCACAGTAGAAGGAACGGTCAGGAAAGAGCAGGTTATGTGGTATGTAGCATTGTCTTATTACTATAAAAAGCAATGAACAAGCATATAATCTCTGACAGTCTTCCCCTTCCTATCCCCCCGTGGATTAAAACATTCTAATTAAAATGGTTTAATTTAGTACATTAGATACCAAAGTTCAGTGACAGAAAGGATTAAAAATTTAAGAAAATTCTCATGATTGAACATGTAGCTATTATATTCTGAGAAACTTGTAGTCTGAACTAAAAAAAAAAAAAGCTCTTTTCTGATACAGAATAACTATAATCTCAACATTTGTCTGATAATTGATCTTTCAAGAATCCCAAAGCACAGCTAAAACCAGATATGAACTGATCTTTCATTTAAACGTTAGGGCCTAGTTAAAAATCAGTATTCGATAATATTACTGAGCTCCTGGGTTTTTTTTCTTTGAACCTGTGAGATTTACAGTCTGTGTTTCATAACCATTTTGGCATGACTCCTTGTTCACTGCTCATGGATCTATCTCTCAGGAGTCTTTCTTCCTAAATCTACTTGCAATACACATCAAATTAACACATTAAATGTGTTAGGTCTTCTTTTTTTTTTTTTAACTATTTCCAACTTTAGTTGCTTTCTATCACAATGTCTTTACAAGCATAAGCAGAAATGAATCCCCTACAGAAGTCTGTCTTCTAAATTTATTCCCTATTCTTCAGTCTTTGAGAAGCAGATGAAGAATAACGCTCTCTTCTACATGACAAAACTTCTCCAAACATATTTTTGAAGCTTAAGAAACTTCAGGGTTGTATTTAATTCACTCTTGGTAGGAAATAAAAGAACAAAAGAAATAACAATGTCCTTTTTCCACCTTAGAAACCATTTGAGCAATAAGAACTCGTAATTCCTGCCAACAGATATTAGCAAGAGAGAGTTCATATCTAACAAGAGACAAGCTGCAGCTGACATTGTTCCAGTAGCTTTTTTTCTCTTTCAGAAACATTACTAAGCACGATTCATTATTACTTACATTTGCATTTCCACGAGGTTTAAAATCGTTTCACTTTAATCAGTTGCTGACAAACATCTTCAGTGGTAAGTGTCAGGGGCAAAAAAAACACCTTAATTTTCCCTGTGGTCAGGGCATGCTATAAAAATTCTGGGGTTGCTTATCAATAAAGTAACTCAATTTTAAACCCTGCAGTTCCAGGAACAACCTAGAGAATAATTACATTCTTCCTGCCATCATCAAATAAATGTGTTCTGGTGGCTTGGCTAAACAAAAATCTTTTAAGTGCAGTAGGCCTGTGAACACATTCACTCAGGGTAAACATGACCCAGATTTTCAGGTGTTACTCAGCAGATCCCCAACCAGCGAACTGCATAGCAGTCAGCTGCTTTGGAGGAATATCTGAAATTCAGTTTGCTTTAGTCATACTAATATTAGTCATAGCTAATATTAGTTCAACCACTTTCAAACAGCCAGAAGATTAACAACTTCGGTATTTACCTAGCCTGGGGGAAAAAAAATACGATCTTTCCTCAAAAAAGTGTATTGACTAGCGCACTTAAGCTCCCCAGGAAAAGCAACTTGATGCCTGAAAAGAAGTGGGAAGAAGCCAGCGGCGAAACACTCTAGGAAACCTTACGTAACGACCACGGCCAACCGCCTCAGCGACCCCCACCCACCC